ATCAGCTCCCAACCTTTGCTCGTCACATCGTGTTCATCAAGGTGCGGCCCTCGCGATCGCCACGGCAGCCGGATTCCGTGGGAATCGCACCCTGTCTGCCCTCGCAGGTGTCCGTCCGTCAACTCGAGGCCCGCCAGCCAGCCATCCCAAGCTAGTCCCCAACAGACGCAGCACCGCCAAGACACAAGCCCATCGCCGCCCGGAATCATACCCCAATACACCCGGAGCGATGCGAAAACCGTCGGCGGCGGGACCTTGGGCAAGCGTACGTGGGCGGCCTCCACCGTCGGCTACCTCGCCGGCCTCGAGCACAGCCTGCATCGCATGAGCACATGCGGCGAGTCGAGCATCTCTTTCGCCACTCGCATATTTGTTCATCCTCGGAATGCTCGCGTGCGTCGACTCGATGAGAGAGAACGATCTACTCGGCGCGCGAGCGGAGAGGTGCCTCGCCCCCTGCCCTTCATCACCATCACCGCAAAGCATCAGCATGATAAGTCCTCGCGCCGTCGTCAGCATCACCATCATCGTCACCGTCTTCACCAGCATCCTCGCCCCCATCCTCATCACCATCCTCATCACCATCCTTGTCACCATCCCCATCCCCACCCTCGTCAACATCATCATCAGCAACGTCACCTTCTTCTTCATCGTCGTCGTCAACATCCTCCCCTTGATCGTCTTGACGCAGGCTGCTGCCCATTCATCCCATCCCTCGAATGCTCGGGCAACCCCGCGCTGCTCATGAGGCTCGTAGGGGTGGAGAGCCCGTGGCGAGCCGAGAGGGACCTGGCCTCGAGCAGGCGCGCAGCTCGCGCACGCTCTCTGTGTGCACCGACACCGTGGCCTGCCCGGAACCTTCCCGGAACCTTCCAGAAGGTGGGCCCTTGAACTTTCTCGGAACCTTCCCGTAGGTGCTGCTTCGCCCCGGACGAGGCAAAAGGACCCTCCCTCCACCCCCTCCCCCACTCTGACGCCCCGCCCCTGCTTGTGTAGGCGACGACGCTCTCCGTGCCGGACAGCATCTGCTACATCGCGGACCAGCTCTTTGTTCGCTGCGTGCGGCGGTCGCGCCTCGGGTCTCTCCGCGCTCACCTCCGACTTCTCCACCGCCGATTCCGTCATCGACAAGAAGAATGGTTGGTACGAGTCCCTCATCACCATCATCACCATCGTCATCATCGTCATCCTCGGTCGCTGCCGCTTCCCTCGCAGTACGAGGTCCCCCCCCTTCCCCCCTCCAGATCGTCTTCCCCCCCTCCGCTCGCCCGCCTTCCCGCCTGCCTCCACCCTTCTCCTCGCCCTCGCTCAGGCCCGCGTCGCCATCTCCGGCATGCCGGCAGCCCACTTCACCGGCGCCTCCTCGGTCGCTGGCGCTTCCCTCGCAGTACGAGGTCGCTCTACCGTCTGCGCGTACCTGGTCGAAGCTGGGCCTACTGCCCCCCTGCGGCGTATTTGTCTGCAGCGTACCACCGACTGCTACACGGACATTCGCGGACAAGAGAGGCGGCGCGCGGTTTCGTTTTCCCCCCCCGCGGGTGCCTCCTATTCCTAGCCCTAGAAATAACGCACCGGTTCTCCCGGTGGCACTAAGACGTTTGCGCCGCCCCCTGTTCTCGTTCTCGGGCCCGTTCTTCGACAT